CTATTACCGAAACATTTTCGGAACTATTTGGCGAAATGTAAAAAACTAAATAAAAGTTCAAAAGAAGAAGACGTTCAGGTATGGTTTAACAGGTTGATATCGCTCTTCCTTCTTCCAATAAATCTCAAGGTCAGTGGTTTATTTCATATGTATTGTATGTAAATCAAATACACAGCAGAACTATTTTGTTTCGTAAATAAGACTCTATTAATTAGAACAATACTAAAATTGATATTTACGCATATACATATAATATACAAAAAGGCAAATCGATCTTATAGACAATAATATTTATATTCAACATGTTTATACTTCATTTGTGTCTCCATATTCTCTATTTACACATAAACCTACTCATACTATCATGTCTCAAACCTACTCACAATATCATACTTGGTCATGTCTCTGTATTCCCTATTTACACATAAACCTACTCACACTATCATATCCTATTTATACATAAACCTACTCACACTATCATACTTGGTCATGTCTCTATATTCATTATTTATACATAAACCTACTTATACTATCATACTTGGTCGAGTCTCCATATTCCCTATTTACACATAAACCTACTCGCACTATCATACTTGGTGATTTGTTCTCAAGTCAATAGACTGATGATCAAGAATTTAAGAAAAAGGTAGATAGATATAAGTGGATATTTGATGATCCCGGAGGTATAAGTTTATATTTAATAATGTTACTTGTCATTCTTTTTGATTAAAAAATAATAAACATGTTAAAACTTATTATATTTTATGAATTAATAAATTTAACTAGAATTTATGATATAGGATATGGTTCAGATATACCACACTATAAGGTGAATAGATGGAAACGTGAGTTTGGTAAAACAAATTTTGATGGCTAGATACCATCAAGTTTCTTTTCAATTCCAGAAGACTCAATAAACACAACAAGGAATAGAATATCGGTCATAAATTCTATGATATAGACGGTTCAACTTCAGATGAGGTATATATTATTTAATTAAATTTTTTTTTTAAGAGTGAGGCCTGGCTTCAGTCTTTATTGACTTAATTAATTCTGTTAAATTAATTTTATTAATTAACTCATGTTAATTCATTTATTATTTATTTTTATCCAAGATTTGTGATCAGAAACATGGTTTTTCTC